AATCGAGTTTGAAGTTTTGGAGAAAATGTAGACTAAATTTCAAATTTGAGGCTCAATATCTCTAAAACTCTACAAGCTACAAAACTCAATGTTACACAGGTTTATAGAGAATGTAATGCTCTTTCGAATGATGTATAGTCATTGCTATTTCACTCAAATATTATTGAAGATATCAGCAATTATTTATGAGCGTGTCAAGATTTCAAAAAATTTTTAGAGCTAAAAATGAGATTTCCTTTTCGATTTTTTTTTTCTCATCAAAATCTCTACACTTAACTGATGTCAGAGTTGTTTCTAACTAATTTGGACCCGCTCTATCGATTTTTGAAGAAAAAATTGGGAAAAACCCATAAATAAAAATTTTCAATTTTTTGCACTTTTTTCTAACCCCTTTGGATTTTTATTTCGAAATCTTCAAACCTCGATATCTCGGTAACCAGAAGCGGTACTGGAACAAAATTTCCAGTCCTTGTAGCTCTTGATAAGGGCTTTTAGATGGTATTTATTTGAAATCGCTACTATTTATAGTTTTTGAGAAAATCGGGTTTGAAGTTTTGGGCAAAATGTAGACTAAATTTCAACTTTGAGGCTGAATATCTCTAAAACTCTACAAGCTACAAAGCTCAATTTTGCACAGGTTTATAGAGAATTTAATGCTATTTCCAATGGTGTATAGTTATTACTAATTTATTCAAATATAATTGAAGATATCAGCAATTATTCATGAGCGTGTCAAGATTTTAAAAAAAATTTAGAGCCAAAAATGAGATTTCCTTTCGGATTTTTTATCTCATCGAAATTTCTAAATTTACCTGATGTCGAGTTGTTCCTGACTAATTTGGACCCGCTCTATCGATTTCTGAAGTCAAAATTGAGAAAAATCCAAAAATAAAATTTTTCAATTTTTTGCAGTTTTTTCTAAAGGTATCCCCTTTGGATTTTCATTTTCAAATCTTCAAACCTGGATATCTCGATAACCAGAAGCGGTACTGCAACAAAATTTCCAGTCCTTGCAGTTCTTGATAAGGGCTTTTAGATGGTATTTATTTGAAATCGCTACTATTTATAGTTTTTAAGAAAATCGGGTTTGAAGTTTTGCACAAAATAACGACTAAATTTCAACTTTGAGGCCTAATATCTCGGAAATTTCAAAAGGTACAAAAACCACTTTTGCATGTGTTTATAGAGAATTTAATGCTGTTTCCAATGATATATAATTGTGGGCTAATTTCTCGAATGTCCTCGATGATATGAGCCTTTATTCATGAGCATGTCAAGATTCCAAAATATTTCCTGAGCCAAAAATAAGATTTCCTTTTTTCTCATCAAAATTCTCAAAAGCAACTGATGTTAGAGCAGTTTCTGACTAATTCACACTTGCTCTATCCATTTCTAAAGTCAAAATTCACAAGAATCCAGCCAATCAGGAGCCTCAAATATATGAAAACTGAATTTTAAAACAAATCAAGAGCCAGAAATATCCAAAAATTGAACTTTAAAACCAATCAAGAGCCGGGAAAATTGAAAAAATTGAATTATATAAGTGTTGGAAATTTGGAACAATAAATTTGAAAATGTCAAACCAAGAGCCGGGAATATTTCAAAATTGAATTTTAAGGCAAATCAAAGAGAGAATCAATCGACTGCCCTTTTTTGGTGAGGGTCAAATTCTAGGGTTGCCAACATTAAGTGAGAATCAAGTTCCTTTTCTCTATATCATCCCACGATGAAGGTAACACAATATGGAAACATACATATAAAAGGCTACAGGAACAGAAATAGCTCACAAAACAGGTCTTTCACACCTTTTGCAATTTTGTGGGCAGAACCTTGGACAATGCAGATGACATACTGACTTATCTCCAAATCAAAACTCAGCATTATTACAAAATATTGGAAGTTCCTACCAAGAAAAGCCTTTGTACAGCTAACATACATCTAAAATCCTTGTATAAAACTCCAGTACTTCCCTAATGATTGGAAGGAAGTTAAAACTATCATGCTCATCAAGCAAGGCAAGAACCCAAACAAACCAGAATTTTCAGTTCATGGGGCATGAATCAACAATCTAAAATCTCGGAAAATAAGTCTTGTAGTTTCCTGACAATCCAAATAAAGAAGCATTTAATGGACCATACCAAAATCTTGATAAATTCTTTGAGTTTTCAGAATTAGATCAAAGGCCATTCATATTTCTCTTAGATTTGAGAGGATATTCTTAATAAAGGAGGATTCAGAAGCCTGGATAGAGAATTTCTTCTCAAATTTTCCTCAATATTTTTATAAAATGTTTTGTCTCATTTTTTCAGTTTAAATTTATGTTTCTTCTCGGCTCTTGAATTTCTATTATCTGCGAATTTTTCTAAAAATAGAGAATTCAAGAGCCTGTAATAGAGAAAGCATTCAAATCTCTAGTTGTTAACCAATTTCTATTAAACGTTTTCTTTCATTTTTCCGTCTAAATTTGCATCGTTTGAATTCCTGTTTTCTTCGAATTTTTCTAAAAATAGAGAATTCAAGAGCCTGGAATAGAGACTAAATTCCTAATTGTCAATCAATTTCCTCTTTTAATTTCTATTCTCTCATTTTTCGAGGTTTCAGAATTTTCAAAGTCGACATAGTGAGATTCAATGGGATATTTCTAGAAATGTCGCAAAAGATAGAGATTTTCTTCTCAAGTTTTCTCTTTTTGTTTCTGTTTAAATTGGTGTTTATTCCAGACTCTTGAATTCCTTGAATATTTAAAATTTAAATTCCTAATTGTCTTTGGATTTTCGAAAATCGAGTTTGAAATTTTAGACAAAATCTAAATTTGAGGCTCAATATCTTGGAAATTCGAAAAGCTACAAAAAAACAATTTTGCACGGGCTTATAGAGAATTTAATGCTCTTTCCAATGATGTATAATTGTAAGTAATTTTCTTGAAAATCATAGAAGATATGGGCAATAATGCATGAGCCTGTCAAGATTTCACTGAACCAAAAATGGGATTTTCTTTTGGATTTTTTATCTTATAGAAATAGTCAAATGTAACTGATGTTAGAGTTGTTTCTGACTAATTTGGACTCGCTCTATCGATTTCTGAAATCACAATTGAGAAAAATCGAAAAATAAAAATTTTCAATTTTTTGCACTTTTTTCTAAGGGTATCCCCTTTGGATTTTCATTTTCAAATCTTCAAACCTGAATATCTCGGTAACCAGAAGCGGTACTGGAACAAAATTTTCAGTACTTGTAGCTCTTGATAAGGGCTTTTAGATGGTATTTAATTGAAATCGCTACTATTTATAGTTTTTGAGAAAATCGGGTTTGAAGTTTTGGGCAAAATGTAGTCCAAATTTCAACTTTGAGGCTAAATATCTCCAAAACTCTACAAGTGACAAAACCCAACTTTACACTATTTTATAGAGAATTTTATGCTCTTTTCAATGATATATAGTTATTACTACTTTACTCAAATATAATTGAAGATATCAGCAATTATTCATGAGCGTGTCAAGATTTCAAAAAAATTTTAGAGCCAAAAATGAGATTTCCTTTCGGATTTTTTTTCTCATAAAAATCTCTAAATTTAGGTGATGTCAGAATTGTTCCTGACTAATTTGGACCCGCTCTATCGATTTCTGAAGTCAAAATTGAGAGAAACCCAAAAATAAAAATTTTCAATTTTTTGCACTTTTTTCTAAAATCCCTTTGGATTTTCATTTTCAAATCTTCAAACCTGAATATCTCGGTAACCAGAAGCGGTACTGAAACAAAATTTTCAGTACTTGTAGCTCTTGATAAGGGCTTTTAGATGGTATTTAATTGAAATCGCTACTATTTATAGTTTTTAAGAAAATCGGGTTTGAAGTTTTGGGCAAAATGTAGACCAAATTTCAACTTTGAGGCTAAATATCTCCAAAACTCTACAAGTGACAAAACCCAACTTTACACTATTTTATAGAGAATTTTATGCTCTTTCCAATGATATATAGTTATTACTACTTTACTCAAATATAATTGAAGATATCAGCAATTATTCATGAGCGTGTCAAGATTTCATTCAAAAAAATTTTAGAGCCAAAAATCAGATTTCCTTTCGGATTTTTTTTCTCATCGAAATTTCCAAATGTAACTGATGTTAGATATGTTTCTGACTAATTTGGACTCGCTCTATCGATTTCTAAAGTCAAAATTGTGAAAAATCCAAAAATAAAAATTTTCAATTTTCTGCACTTTTTCCTAAGCTTGGATTTTTATTTGTAAATCTTCAAATGACAATATCTCGGTAATCAAAAGCGGTACTGGGATAAAATTTTCAGGAATTGTAGCTCTTGATAAGGGCTTCAAGCTGGTATTTAGCTGAAATCGCTTACATTCAGGGTTTTTGAGAAAATTCAGTTTGAAGTTTTGGACAAAATTACGACTAAATTCCAACTTTGAAGGTCAATATCTTGAAAACTTCACAGGGAACAGAAACCAACTTTTCAAGGCTTATAGAGAATTTATTGCTCTTTCCAATGATATATAATTGTTGGCAATTTTCTCAAAGGTCTTCATAGATATGAGCAATTATTCATGAAGGTGTCAAGAATTAAAAAAAAAATTTGAGCCAAAAATGAGATTTCCTTTTGGATTTTTTCTCTCATCGAACTTTCCAAATGTGACTGATCTTAGAATTGTTTTTAACTAATTTGGACCCTGCACTTCTACCCAAAGGTAGCTCCTGTGGATTTTTATGTGTATATCTTCAAATCACAATATCTTGGTAACCAAAAGTGGTACTGGGATAACATTTCCAGGAATTGTAGCCCTGATGTACATGATTTGTATCCATTTGTATACGATATTTAAGAACACCCTGTATAATAATTGTTCAAGAGCCGCTAATAGCTCTCTTTGTTAAAATGCATTATCATCGATAAACAGCGGTTGCAAAAATCCCTAATTAATTGAAAAATCTTATCAACATAACCGCAGTCGGTTTAAATTAAATTAAAACCAAAATAAATCATTTTCAGTCGAACAATGTCAGCTCAACACCATGCAAATCAAACCTTGTAAGTACCACCACCTTTAAAATCCCACAATCAGACCTATTTTGTTAGTATAATGGTTGTGTTAGGGCTCAACATCTATTTCTGTCTCTATTATGGCGTATAAATTGCTGTTGAAAATGAATGAATTTCATTTTTGTTTTAGACGCCCAAACCGCATCAGTCCATCCCTATCAACCGACCGGTACTACTTCGTAAGTCCAAATACTACAGGGACAAATATCGCATTTTCTGATCTGTTGGCAAGAGACAGCGGAAACTACGAAAGCGTCACGGATATTGACTTGAATTTTTCTAAAGGAGTTACTAGAAACTCGGCCCTGAACACGTGCGAGCGTTGCTTTAGGGAAATCGGCAACAAGGCTTTTTGCTACAACTGTTTTGGACCAGCAAAAATGCCTTTGCCCAAAAAATCCAGCAAAAAACATATTGCTTTGTGGATTTTTGTTGCAGTAATCATACCACTTATGGTGTTTATGTGCCTTTCCATGTGCCTTATGCATTTGTATAAGATTGGATTGTATAGGGACGATGATGTTGCTCAATTGAAGGTAAATAAATACAATATATATAAATAATTGATATATACATAAATTATTTTAGAAAGACATGAAAATCGCTTTGACTGAAATACGATATTTGAGCAGTTACACTGATGGTTTTACCAATACCTTCAACAGAAACATGAGTCACATATTTTCAAATATAGCCAAATTAAAGGTAGCTTTACATATTATTTTACATACATAATAAATATAATTTTTTTTATAGATACAAGTGGCCAAAAATAAGTCAGTTTGGCCCAAACAAATCGTAAACATGCAAGAAATATTCAATGTCTCTTGCCAGGAATACCTCAAACTACACAACACCACTAAAATAATAAATATATGCCATTCGGTATTTAATGGAACCTATTTCAAATAAACTTAAGAGTTTGGTATTTCGCACGACTAGGCTTCAAAGTCCACTTGATGGGCATTTTCTCTGCAGAAAACCACTGACCGATTTCTATTGGGTTCTTTATCTGGAATACTAATGTACTTGCAACGACGCCAAGTCAATAGAATGTGATTTCCAATTTAGTTTTTCTTTTTTATCTATATAAATTGTGTCGTTCGATAAACAGGGCTCGATTTTTCGTTCGAGATTGCGGAAATTTACTGCAAATTAAAAAATAGCCCTGAAACAAAAAAGGGATAGAGAGATTCTCGGTTGGGTATTTTATATAGATAGGCTCAATTATGTTGGAGCATCGATTTAATGTATGTTACTAGGTTTTTCCTAATGATTCAAAAGCCAGTAATAATCAAAATTTCAGCTATTACCGGCTCTTGATCGCCATTATTATATATTATATACAATTATTATATATTAAATTATACTTGATTCACTCTGTAACGTGCTACCAGCACATTAATCAATAAATAAAGAGTGACCCAACTTTACGGTATTACTTTACAAAACATCATTATTTAAAAAAAGTCATAACTCCATTATTAATAACTCAATCCCTTCGAGTTTTTGGTATTTTTTACATTGAATCTTAAAGAAAAAGTCCTCAAAATTTCAACTCTCCACTCACTTTAGTTTTTGAGTGAAAAAATTGTTTGTAGAGTATTACTTAACAAAACATCATTATTTTAAAAAAGTCATAACTTCATTATTAATAACTCAATCCCTTCGAGTTTTTGGTATTTTTTACATTGAATCTTAAAGAAAAAGTCCTCAAAATTTCAACTCTCCACTCACTTTAGTTTTTGAGTGAAAAAATTATTTGTAGAGTATTACTTAACAAAACATCATTATTTAAAAAAAGTCATAACTCCATTAATAATCTTCTATTTCCCGGTATAAAATCAGTTTCAAAAGAACCAACACCGTCTCCCTTCTGGAACAACACTTTTTCCGCTAGTTTCCTCTTTCTTGTTGTAGTTATCTTTCTAATATTCTTGTCTTTTCTATATTCAACATCCTTTTGGGAAGTTTTATTTTTGTATTTTCCACAATTTGTTTTTGCACTGAAACAGTAAAAAACCTTCAAGCTGCGCTTTAGCAATTTAAATGCACATGTGGATTAATAAATTACACGCTCCGATTTACTGCACAATGTCTTGCCAGATGCTATTGTTTCGCTTTTTGCCGCACCATCATAATAATATGCCGGAGCTGCTATCCAGGAATCCAGAAAGTCTTTTGTTTCGCTCTCTCCGTCTAAATGCTTTTTCGCACACGTAGAAATGTACACTCTTTTTTTTTTTTAGTTGTTTCGCTAATGGACTTTGAAATAGTTAAAAATTTCCAATAAAAATAAATTGCCGATAGAGCGGCCCGTATTTTACAAAGTAAATAAAGGGAGAGGCGTCTCTGGCTGCTTCTTCTCTCATATTCCTCAGGAATAAAATGATCTCTTTTGCCTAAAATGTTACGCCTGAACGGGCCCTACATTCTTTGAAATTGGTGTTTGTTCAATCTGCAATTCAGATATCATCATCATCGGTTTTTTTTCTTTTTTTATTTCAAGAACGCCGGATCCGAATATATCAATCTATATTAGGTTTTTCGAAAAGGAGCTCTAGTCTAGCGCAAATTGAATTTTAATAATGGTTGGAAATTTAATTGGGATTTATTGATTGGTTTTAGGAATTACATTTTTTAAGTTGGAGTGATTTAACACATTCAACGTCATCGGTATCCAGCTCCATCCAGTTGGCCGACTCGTTTTTGAATAATGAATAAGAAAACTCACAAATGAGTGAGCCAGGTTTGAATTATTTTCTGAGAAAATTACGCTGAACCTCAGAATTCAAAATCTAATGATTTCAGAGTTTTTCCAAAAAATTTGTGCAAGATTTTAAAGTCTTAAGAATCTAAAGTGTCTTCTCATAGAAGAACCAGGAAGGTTGCCCATAGTAATGACTTGGGATTAAGAATCGAAAGTCTTTAAGAGTTTTTCATAAAAACCCCAAGGCATTTCCAAGGTTTCCCGAAAAGATCCTCAGATAGTTGAGTGTTTTATTGGTTTTACCTATGTCAAGATTTGGTTCAGTTATATGCCTTTATTCTCAAAGAAGATTCACAAAAGAACAAGTGTAGATTTCAAAAATCATTTTCTTAGAAGGAAAATTTTCCCTTGAACTTCAGTATTCAATATCTACTGATCTATTTCCAAATTAATAAGCCAGGTCAATGATAAAATTCCTATCTCCAACCCTCAAACAAAGCAACTTAAACAACTCAATAAATCTATCACAAGCCCCCCTCAACAAAACCCGTCCAGGGAATTGTACACTACTACATTATAAAGGGGGTAAGTTGTTGTTTCTTTTGCGCACACGCCACTGGATTCGGCCACATTAAATAACAGATCCCATAAACTCGGACATAACGCCACATAAATCTGGCGTCCATAAACCACGGTACGAGGGACGGTCAACTATACGCGACGTTTCCCATAAACAATCCCTCTTTTCTATCTGGTTTGAGGTGAAGCTTGCCGATATTGAATCATCAATCGAATCCAGGCGGCTATTTATTTTGCGGACGTAAGTCCATTTGAGAAAATCCATAAAAGTTTCAAAAGATCATTATGATAAGAGAATTGTTAGTGGATGATTTTATGAAACTTTGAGGCTCTATTCTTGAAGGTTTGAGGTTAAACATATTAAAAATTCAAGCTGATCAAACCCCTAATAATACAGTTATGAATTTTTTAAATTAGGCAAAAATGGATAAATTGACAACCCTCTATTTTGGAATTTTCACCTCTAAAACTATTGGAGACTCAGAGATGAAACATTGAGGCTCTATTCTTGAAGGTTTGAGGTAAAACATACTACAAATTTAAGTTGATCAAATCGTTAATAATAAAGTTAAGAATTTCCAGAATTAGGCAAAAATGAATACATTGACAAGCCTCTATTTTGGAATTTTCACCTCTAAAACTATTGGGGGCTCAGAAATGAAACTTTGAGGCCCTATTCTTGGAGGTTTGAGGTGAAACATACTAAAAATTCAAGCTGATCAAGCCCCTAATAATAAAGTTACGAATTTTCTAAATTAAGCAAAAATAAATACATTGACAAACCTTTATTTTGGAATTTTACCCTCGAGAACTATCGGGGGCGCAAAGATGAAACTTTGAGGCTCTATTCCTGAAGGTTTGAGGTAAAACATATTAAAAATTCAAGCTGATCAAACCGCTAATAATAAAGTTACGATTTTTCTGAATTAGGCAGAAATGAATACATTGACAAGCCTCTATTTTGGATTTTTTACCTCAAAAACCATAAGAGGCTCAGAGATGAAACATTGAGGCTCTATTCTTGAAGGTTTGAGGTAAAACATACTAAAAACTCAAGCTAATCGAACCGCTAATAATAAAGTTACAAATTTTCTGAATTAGGCAAAAATGAATACATTGACAAGCCTCTATTCTGGAATTTTCACCTCTAAAACTATTGGGGGCAGAGAGATGAAACTTTAAGGCTCTATCCTTGACGGTTTGAGGTTTCCTTTAGAGAAATTTCCTAGTGATTCAAGAACCAGTAATGATAAAAATTTGAACTATTCCCGGCTCTTGATTTCATCTGGAAATGTTTCCTTTGTGATGATTCAAGCGCCTGGAATAATCAAAGTTTTGACCAGCAAATTGTTCTGAGAATCAAAATTTGAAACCTTATTGGGTCTTGATTTCCTTCAGAGAAATTTCCTAGTGATTCAAGAACCAGTGATGATCAAAATTTGAACTATTCCCGGCTCTTGATTTCATCTAGGAATGTTTTCTTTGTGATGATTTATGCGCTATTTTGGAATTTTTACCGGAAAAACTATCGGGGGCGCAGAGATGAAACTTTGAGGCTCTATTCTTGAAGGTTTGAGGTAAAACATACCAGAAATTCAAGCTGATCAAACCGCTAATAATAAAGTTACAAATTTTTTAAATAAGGCAAAAATGAATACATTGACAAGTCTCTATTTTGGAATTTATACCTTAAAAACTATTAGAGCCTCAGAGATGAAACTTTGAGGCTCTATTTTTAAAAGTTTGATGTGAAACATACTAAAAATTCAAGCTGATCAAACCTCTATTAATAAAGTTACAAATTTTCAAAATTAGGCAAAAATGAATACATTGACAAGCCTCTATTTTGGAATTTTCACCTCAAAAATTATCAGAGGCTCAGAGATGAAACTTTGAGGCTCTATTCTTGAAGGTTTGAGGTGAAACATACTAAAAATTCATGCTGATCCAACTACTAATAATAAAGTTACGAATTTTCTAAATTAGGCAAAAATGAATATATTGACAAGTCTCTATTTTAGAATTTTTACCTCAAAAACTATCGGGAGCTCAGAGATGAAACTCTGAGGCTCTATTCTTGAAGGTTTGAGGTGAAACATACTAAAAAGTCAAGTTGATCAAACCGCTAATAATAAAGTTACGAATTTTCTGAATTAGGCAAAAATGAATACATTGACAAGCCTCTATTTTAGAGTTTTTACCTCAAAAACTATTAAGGGCGCAGTGATGAAACTTTGAGGCTCTATTCTTCAAGGTTTGATGTGAAACATACTAAAAATTCAAGTTGATCAAACCGCTAATAATAAAGTAACGAATTTTCTAAATTAGGCAACAATTAATACATTGATAAGTCTCTATTTTGGAATTTTTACCTCAAAAATTATCAGAGGTTCAGAGATGAAACTTTGAGGCTCTATTCTTGAAGGTTTGAAGTGAAACATACTGAAAATTCAAGCTGATCAAACCGCTATTAATAAAGTTACAAATTTTCAAAATTAGGCAAAAATGAATACATTGACAAGCCTCTATTTTGGAATTTTTACCTCAAAAACTATTGGGGGCTCAGAAATGAAACTTTGAGGCTCTATTCTTGAAGGTTTGAGGTGAAACATACTAAAAATTCATGCTGATCCAACTACTAATAATAAAGTTACGAATTTTCTAAATTAGGCAAAAATGAATATATTGACAAGTCTCTATTTTAGAATTTTTACCTCAAAAACTATCGGGAGCTCAGAGATGAAACTCTGAGGCTCTATTCTTGAAGGTTTGAAGTGAAAAATACTAAAAATTCAAGCTGATCGCACCGCTATTAATAAAGTTACAAATTTTCTAAATTAGGCAAAAATGAATACATTGACAAGCCTCTATTTTGGAATTTTTACCTCAAAAACTACTGGAGGCACACAGATGAAACTCTAAGGCTCTATTCTTGAAGGTTTGAGGTAAAACATACTAAAAATTCAAGCTGATCGCACCGCTATTAATAAAGTTACGAATTTTCTGAATTAGGCAAAAATGAATACATTGACAAGCCTCTATTTTAGAGTTTTTACCTCAAAAACTATTAAGGGCGCAGTGATGAAACTTTGAGGCTCTATTCTTCAAGGTTTGATGTGAAACATACTAAAAATTCAAGTTGATCAAACCGCTAATAATAAAGTAACGAATTTTCTAAATTAGGCAACAATTAATACATTGATAAGTCTCTATTTTGGAATTTTTACCTCAAAAATTATCAGAGGCTCAGAGATGAAACTTTGAGGCTCTATTCTTGAAGGTTTGAAGTGAAACATACTGAAAATTCAAGCTGATCAAACCGCTATTAATAAAGTTACAAATTTTCAAAATTAGGCAAAAATGAATACATTGACAAGCCTCTATTTTGGAATTTTCACCTCAAAAATTATCAGAGGCTCAGAGATGAAACTTTGAGGCTCTATTCTTGAAGGTTTGAAGTGAAACATACTAAAAATTCAAGCTGATCGCACCGCTATTAATAAAGTTACAAATTTTCTAAATTAGGCAAAAATGAATACATTGACAAGCCTCTATTTTGGAATTTTTACCTCAAAAACTATTAGGGGGTCAGAGATGAAACTTTGAGGCTCTATTTTTGAAAGTTTGATGTGAAACATACTAAAAATTCAAGCTGATCAAACCTCTATTAATAAAGTTACAAATTTTCTAAATTAGGCACAAATGAATACATTGACAAGTCTCTATTTTGGAATTTTTACCTCAAAAATTATCAGAGGCTCAGAGATGAAACTTTGAGGCTCTATTCTTGAAGGTTTGAAGTGAAACATACTAAAAACTCAAGCTGATCGCACCGCTATTAATAAAGTTACAAATTTTCTAAATTAGGCAAAAATGAATACATTGACAAGCCTCTATTTTGGAATTTTTACCTTAAAAACTATTAGGGCCTCAGAGATGAAACTTTGAGGCTCTATTTTTAAAAGTTTGATGTGAAACATACTAAAAATTCAAGCTGATCAAACCTCTATTAATAAAGTTACCAATTTTCTAAATTAGGCAAAAATGAATATATTGACAAGCCTCTATTTTGGAATTTTTACTTCAAAAACTACTGGAGGCACACAGATGAAACTCTAAGGCTCTATTCTTGAAGGTTAGAGGTAAAATATACTAAAAATTCAAGCTGATCAAACCACCAACTATAAAGTTACAAACTTTCTAAATTAGGCAAAAATGAATACATTGACAAGCCTGTATTTTGGAAGTTTTACCTCAAAAACTATCGGGGGTTCAGAGATGAAACTTTGAGGATCTATTCTTGAAGGTTCGAGGTAAAATATACTAAAAATTCAAACTGATCAAACGACTTATAATAAAGTTACGAATTTTCTAAATTAAGCCAAAATGAATACATTGACTAGCCTGTATTTTGCAAGTTTTACCTCAAAAGCTATGGTGGGCGCAGAGATGAAACTTTGAGGCTCTATTTTTAAAGTTTTGAGACAAAACATACTAAAAATTCAAGCTGATCAAACCGCTATTAATAAAGTTACAAATTTTCAAAATTAGGCAAAAATTAATACATTGACATTGCTGCTTTCACATCTCTAAGCCAATTAGCTCCGATCATATATACTACAAATCTTCTCATTTTTATTCCCGGTTGCACAATTCGATAATTTTATTTGATGCAATCGCTCACAAAAGGTTTTCCGTCGTATTGTTCGGACGCAAAAATTCAACTACTATGGAATTTCGCTCAATATCTCGTTATTTTGAAAGGGAGAAGCTCCAAGGCACTTCTATTTGAAAACAAAATAGAGAAGCAAAAAAGATTTCAAAGAATACAATTTTTTTCATCAAAATCGCATTTTTTTATGTACTTTGAGAACATTCTCTGTTTTAAAATGTTGACTTTCCCAGTAGAAAGAAAAAGTCTATCATAGTTCATAAAGTATTGGAGTATTTGGTTTACTTGTGTCAAGATTTGGTTGAGTTATATGCCGCATTTTCAGAATCACCCTCTACCAAATTCCAAATCCTTGTTAAGAAACATTTCATCCCTAAACATCTTAGACATACTATTCGTTTAATTAAGCAAAATAGGCCAAGCAACAATGACGGTGCGGTAACAAAGGACAATGTCGGACACAATTAATTCCCCATTGCACAAGTGCATCTGGCTGGACACTGCCGATAACGATGTTTGTTGTGTCAGGACAGGCACGCTCCTCCTCCTCCTGTTTTGATTATTAGAGCGGCCCTCAAGGAAAAGTAGAACTGTTGAAAATTGATAAGAGACCCTTTAGAAAAAAATTATTACGCTGCAACTGGACGTTAATTAGCGAAAAAAATTTCAATGGGTTTCCGAGCAGACAATACTGAAATAGAGGCTTTTGTATCTGGATTCAATTAAAAAAAAAAAAAAAAAAGGATTTCTACAAAATTCCTCATGATACACTGTATGACCACACAAATTAATCAAAACCAATAAATAAATTTATAAAGCGGGAGCTTTTAATCCCCAAAACAAATCGATGGGGTTATAGTGAAAGCGCATTGCAGATCGCATTATTGCGTGCCCACCCCTCTATGCTCCGGCCCCATTAATTGGATCAATCTGGATTCGGTCTGTGTCATAAGCTTACGCAGGTAATAAATTCGGGAATCTATGAACCGGTAAGCTTGTGTTGCCCGAACGGTTTTAAATTGGACAGTGGTACGCGTTTTGTTATCGAAAATCCAATGGCGTTTGCACATTTGCGAAATAAAATAATTTGGACGTATTAATAATTTATCTATTCACGGCTCTTGAATTTTTGGCCCGATTTATTCAACTTACTGGTAACTGTTTAAAAGATAAATTTACCAATCTATAGTCCTATTAGTAGTAATAGAATGCAGCAGGCGTGTTAACCAAACCAAAAGGTAGTAATTTTTTTAGTGTAGGTTGGCCTGTGCAAGTACCACTAGTGAAATTAGAATAATTGTAACGAAGTTACTATTTTTTTTTCTTTTCGCTACCCGCCACTGACATACCGCATCCGAATCGATTTTCGGATCCTATTAGAGGTACCATCATCGCTACTGTATAACCGCCCTTTTTTTACGCCGGTAGTACCACTAAACTTTGGAAGAGTTAGAGAAGGAATGTCTCAGGTTAGAATCAAAGAAATATCGTGCACCACCTCCTCGTAGACGTAAGAATTTAGTTGAGCCTAACTTTGAGTTTGTGGAAACTTCATATGTAGAATCAGCAACTGATGATGAGAGTTTGCTTTAAACTTCAGAATTCTTAGCAAGTAAACTAAAAAGGACAGTTGTCCGATATCTAAGTAGCATAGATATAAAATCTGCCTTTCTTGCAAGTACCACTAAGTTTCGTGAACTTACTGCTTTTACTGTGCCTGGACAAAGATTATTTGAGTTCTGTAGGATGCCTTTTGGATTAATCAATGCTCCAGCAACTTGTAGATAATGCTTTGGGAGCCGTTTTCCAAAATAAAGTGATGGTGTATCTGGACGACATCATTCTGATTAGCGAAACATTTGGACTTGTGCTTGATAGGCTTTGAGAAGCAGGTCTCGTTCTCTCTTTTAGGAAATGTAAATTTTGTCGGTCGCAGCTTAAATACCGTGGGTACGTTGTCGAAAAAAAGACCAGATCCTGACAAAGTTGAGGCTATCGTCAATTTTCCTACTCCTAAGAACATCAATGAAATACGTCGATTTATAGGTACTGCTTTAATTTGTTTATTAATGATGCGTTCGCTGGCGACATGAAAATGTTTGGAGTGAGCAATAGTTTTGGGGATTGTTTCGACTTTCAGGATGACTTAGACAGATTTGCTCCCTAGTGTAGTAGGAGTAGGAACGGGATAGCACTAAATATCCCAAAAATTTATCATGTTTTCTAGATCGCGATCCTCTAAGAACTTTCAGTACCTATATGTTAGATGGCCACCCACTTTCAGTGCGGTCAATATGTTGAGACACCCTGACGTCACTTTCCTTGGCATCAGATATTTCTTGCATTGTTAGTTAATCATTGTGAAAGGTACCTACTCTCTAGATACTTTACTGTGCTCTGGTGAGAACAAGGGGCAAACCACCTACGAATTCTTTGTGAGGAATTTGTGAGGAATTTGAAGGAACTCATCCAAATTTATGAAAATTTGGAGAATTTATAGGGAATTTGGAGGAATTTATGGGGAATTTGGAAGAATTTGTGAGGAATTTATGACGAACTTAAAGGAAATTGTCAAATTTAAAAAATTCAAAAGAATAATGAATACAGTTTTTGTAGGCTGATTTCCAAGATTTTTCATGTTGTTATTTTCCACTGAAAAAATTTGAAATTTTGGGACTACCTTCCTCTTTACATGCAAAAGTTTCAAAATTTTCCCTTCACTAGTTTTCCAGGAAATTTTTGGAATGTGTGAAACTGTATTTTCAATTAATTCAGTTATTGTAGGTTGATTTTCAAGATTCCTCATGTTGTAATTTTTTACTGGAAAAATTTGAAATTTTGGGAAAATGAGCTTCTCACCTTCCTCTTTACATGCAAAAAGATTCAAAATTTTCCCTTCACTAGTTTTCCAGGAAATCTTTGAAATGTGTGAGACTGTATTTTCAACTAATTCAGTTTATGTACCTAGGTTGATTTTCAAGATTTTTCATGTTGTTATTTTCCACTGGAAGAATTTGAAATTCTGGGAAAATGAGCTTCTCACCTTCCTCTTTACATGCAAAAAGTTCCAAATTTCTCTCTTCACTAGTTTTCCAGGAAAACTTTGAAATGTGTGAGACTGTATTTTCAACTAATTCAATTTTTGTAGGTTGATTTCTAAGATTTTTCATGTTGCTGTTTTCCACTGGAAAAATTTGAAATTTTGGAAAAATGAGCATCTCAGCTTCCTCTTTACATGCAAATAGTTTTAAATTTTCCCTTTCACTTTTTTCAGGAAAACTTTGAAATAAGTGAGACTGTATTTTCAATTAATTCAGTTACTGAAACAAGATTTTCGCATATGGTAAGCAAGTAGCAAATATAGTAGAGAAGTATTCTGAAAGAACTTAACATTGTAGAACTTATCAAAAAGAAGAATAGCAGAAAATTAAAACTTACCAAAATACTTTGGCCTTTTACAGACACAGCACACGAAGAATAACGACTAAATTTGAGACTTTAACCTTTTAAAACTCACACAACTAAATCTGCCTAGAGTGGCACTGTGGTGCTATAATCTCAGCAGCCCACAATTGGGAGTTAGGGGCTCAAACTTATTTTTTGGTTTTATATCAGCAAAAACGCTTAAAGGGAAACTCTCAACGTGCTCTTGAAAGCTGCCCTCTTTTCTAACAAAAAAAAAACACGATTTTTAATCCTTTCTCTTCCAGAAAAAAACCTTGAGGAATTTCAACAGAATCTATTGGGGGACACTGGTACTGCTACTCCAAATAGAGGAAACTGTAATGGTACAAAGGAAGGTAGTACGGAAATCTGTAATAGAACCATCGGTACTATAAAGCAAGTGTAGGAATCTGTAATAATATATAATATGAAATGTTTAAAAAAATAACCACAATTATTTTTAGATGGTGCTGAAAAATAGCGAAATGAAAACTGTATAAGTGAAATGACAACTTAGTAATAAGGGGGAAAAATAATCCCGTAACACTTTGTACCAAGGCAACAATATTCCCAACATATATAACTTATATTTAAAAAAACATTACAAATGATTCATTAGGCAACCCTGTATATAGCAGCAAACGAATGCTCGGTTTTGATTAATGGATTTGTCACGGTGCGGCGCTGCGAAAAAAATACTGACGACGAAGACTTTCCGAAATGTCCGGTTCCTGTGAAATTGACTAATTACATTGCCGGACATCGAAAAGCCTCCACCGTCCTGTATTCAGCACTTTTCTGTTAAACGAATTAATTCGATTCAGTCGGTTGGTTGATTGACATTCGGCAATTTTCTATTTAGAGGCTCTCTTCACACTTCAAATAAATTCACTGACATTTTCCAAGTTGTTATTCACAATCTTGTAGACTACGACTCTCCAAAGTCTTTGATGCTAATAGGCCAATTATTGCACAAACAAGGCCTCATCATTATCGACACTCGGTGACACTAACACCTGTTTAAAGATCCGACCAGCATTGTCGGCGCACTAATGGCCTTCGGGCGATGAGATTTAGAGCGTTATCTGTCGATGGCAGACGACGTCGCCACACTTTTCTTTTTTATTCGACTAAAAAACTAAATTGGCCAAATGAATAATTGAGACACGAAGGAATTTATATAATACTGATGTGCTAAATTGTTAATGAACTTAATCAAAGGACAATGGACACGTGTGAGCCACCCTGACTGGTCACGTAGAATGTAATTGGAGAATGGATACTAATTAGGCTTTTATAAATATATGATAGCGACAATTCTGGAATCTCATTATATACACACAAAAAAAAAACACGTGCCCTAATCCCTCTCTCAAGGGAGATCAAGTCAAATCCTTTTTTGACTCCTAATTACCTTGTTATTGGGGGATTTTGCATTTTTATTCTCGTGCAGATAATCCCTATGTGGCACGTCCAATTTAGAGATAAATAAACTCTTGTATTTGTATTTATATACAAAAATAATATTAATAAAGCGTCAATATTTCCTGCCAGCGAGGCACAAAAGACGCAAAAGTTTTTGGACCCTTTTCCCCCAAAAAGGGAACGTCTGCTGTTGACAGATAACAGCATAGCAGGCGCTCTCACGACAATAGATATTTTGTTAATGTAAGAAAAACTATATTTTTTTTTTAAATAAAATTTGTATTAATTAATCAATCAATCAATATAGTTCCAAGCAAAAGTGTCGCAACCAGATATACAGTTTCTTTTCAAGCAGAAAGTCTATTTCCTCCTTAGTAATTTTCAACTGAAATATTTTTGCAGTGGCACAATAAAACCTCCAAGACGAGTGTGTGAGATTAATTTCCTGACGCTCTAGTAAAAAGAAGCTCGTTAGGAGCCGATCACGTAGAGCTCTATTAGTTTCGTTTGGAGTTTCGGTAAAAGATTTCCTCTCTTTCTATATATATATATAGCAACGACACTTTTGTCTTTCTTTTTATATGTTTCAAATTAATTCCCAAATCAGAGCAATCAATCGGGAGCAGGAATTTATTTGCGCACCATCGAAAACCGACTCGAATTGATGTAGGTAATGAGAACTTTAAATTGAGATTTATTTAAACAATCATGCAATGACTTACCCAAAAATTTCGCCTCAACTGAAGATGGATCTGGAATTAAAAAAAAAAAAAACTTAGTTTAATATTCATAGACTGATCAGGTGTGAAATTACTTAGCAATGTACCTTAAAGACATTTGGATTTGTGTTTCGTAAATCACGGAACGAGTTTCGCATCTGGTAATCAGAAGCGCTGTCAGTCCGATGTGTGTGTGATTTGGCTGACAAGAATGTACGCGGAAACATATTCGACATATTATTATGCGACGTCAATAGGGATGCAAGATTGAGTTTTATAGACAATTATTTGGGATAATAATTGTGGTAGGTCTGAGCTAATGTTGGGAACATTTTGATTAAATTCTTATAGCCTAGGGAGTATGAGACTTTCACCCACTAAAACCCTTTCCCTACTGTTCCTGGAACCAACGTTAAGCATTATTCCAGAGAATTTCGTTTTCTAGCCTCCTCAATTTGCTTAAGTTTCATTATATTTCTAAGCATATCCATAATTGCACCCAAATCTCTCATCCTTCCAAAAGCATTTTTCCAATTGGCGCCCGAGCAGGGACCGTTAAAGCACAAACAGGAAAAATCGCAAGCAGCGATGTTGGCAGACGTTGGAAATGTGAAACCGATCATTGTTGTCGATTCTAAGTAGCCCCTTTTTAAAAATGTCAACAGTACCGGTAGTTTCTAGGCCGAATTTATTCAGCTTCACAAGCAAATCGTCCTTCTTTAGTTGATATGTCTGGTTCACACGGACATCGTTGTCAATGTTGCCAGGTCATATTTTGTTTTGTCAGTAGATTACCAGTCTAAATATCAGTAGAAATCAGTAGACAGATAAGTTGCCTTGTTAAAGGGGTAAATCATTAGGGTATACTCAATGAATTAGACTGTGTATTAGACTATGAAAACTTACATTAGAAAATCAAACACCAATACTACTTATGAGAAATAGTTTATTAGGATTAAGACACATTAGATATTCCTAATAAATATGCACTACTTATGGGATGCCCTATATTTGGTTCTATATTTTTGAAGAGTATAATTTCCCGATTCCAAAACGATATAGTTTGTCTATATTTGGTTGAGCGGGCTCCAACCTATTTGTTTCTAAACATTTTAAAAATACTGTCAGAAAAACCAAATACCTACTTCAAATTTTACCTGCAGCTTTCACCTGTATAGGTAGAATGGTTTACAAAATCAGTATAGTGGGATAATATTTCTACAATTTTTGGAGCCAAATATATGGGAGACTGTTCAATTAAATATAGACAAACTATATATTTTTGGAATCGGGGCATTGTGGTCTTCAAGAATATAGAATGAAATATAGGACATCTCATTTGAAAAAATCTGAAAGTATGCAGAATTTCACATTTCTGTCATTCAAATTTTGTTTCTGACCATGGTTTCTGAAAATTCAACCAAAACTGTGCAACTTTTGTATTTACACCTTTTTTCTACCTCTAAAGGTAAAGAAGGTAGGTGGAGTGTCGATATATAAAAAAACACCCTGTACAAATAAGTAGATTATTGCGGAACTTATGGGTGGACCTCTGCGGGACGAGCGCAGCGAGTTCCGCAGCCATCTACTCATCAATATAGTGTTGAATTGTTCAAGTAAGACATTCACCTGAAACATGTAGTTTTTAAACTAATGAGAATAACTCACATTTGAGTGAGTCAGGTTAATATCGTAATTAAATAACATATTGATGAATAGATGGCTGCGGAACTCGCTGCGCTCGTCCCGCAGAGGCCCACCCATAAGTTCCGCAACAATTCACTCATTTGTACTTGAATAACTTGTCACATTATGTTACTAGTTTGGTAAAGTAACATTACTAATTCCTGTTGAAAGGCGAATTATCAAAAAGTGGATATTTTTACAAATTCTGACTTTATATAATAAGTTATTGTTCAAGTACAAATAAGAGGATTATTGCGAAACTTATGGGTGGACCTCTGCGGGACGAGCGCAGCGAGTTCCGCAGCCATCTACTCACCAATATACTGTTGAACTGTTCAAGTAAGATATTCACCTGAAACATGTAGTTTTTAAACTAATGAGAATAACTCACATTTGAAAGAGTCAGGTTAATATCGTAATTAAACAACATATTGATGAATAGATGGCTGCGGAACTCGCTGCGCTCGTCCCGCAGAGGTCCACCTATAGGTTCTGCAACAATTTAGTCATTTGTACTTGAATAACTTGTCACATTATGTTACTAGTTTGGTAAAGTAACATTACTAAGTACAAAGAAGTGGATTATTGTGAAACTTATGGGTGGACCTCTGCGGGACGAGCGCAGCGAGTTCCGCAGCCATCTACTCATCAATATACTGTTGAACTGTTCAAGTAAGACATTCACCTGAAACATATAGTTTTTAAACTAATGAGAATAACTCACATTTGAGTGAGTTAGGTTAATATCGTAATTAAATAACATATTGATGAATAGATGGCTGCGGAACTCGCTGCGCTCGTCCCGCAGAGGTCCACCCATAAGTTCCGCAACAATTCACTCATTTGTACTTGAATAACTTGTCACATTATGTTACTAGTTTGGTAAAGTAACATTACTAATTCCTGTTGAAAGGCGAATTATCAAAAAGTGGATATTTTTACAAATTCTGACTTTATAT